TTTACTGTATTTTCCTACATTGCAATTTTTTGTTTAGTAAATGTTTGAAATGTCAAAATATATTTTTATATATATAGTATTAAACATTGAATTTTTATTTTTAAAAACAAACTGTATATATACTGTATATTATTAAATGTAAAAATAATAATAATATTATTTTTTTTGTTGATTGTCTTATTGTTTTTAAGTTTTTGTTTTAATATTTTTTCTCTCTTTCAAAAAAAAATTAAATAATTAAAATGCAATTAAATATTAATCAATTTTATTCTGTATTATTATCAATACTATCAATACTACTATTATTATTATTATTATCAATATTATAATGATTGATATTTTTTTTATTATTATCAAGTGTATTATATATAAATAATTATTATCATCATCATTATTATTATACTAGTTAATTATTATTATTATTATTATTAAATTATTTTTATACAAAAATTTTTTTTACATTGCTATTAGTTAATTTTAGTTTTATTTTTTTTTTCAATAAAATAAAATTATTGTACATAGATAAAACTAAATACTGATTAGTTTATTATTATTATTTATCATAATATTTTTTTTTTAATAATAATATATGCACACAACTAGCATATAAATCATCCATGTCAAAAATAATAAAATAAAAATTTTGTTGATTAATTGATTAATAATAAAAATGTGTTTTAAAAAGTATAATTTTTATTAAATAAATTTCATAATAAAATTGAAATTTTTTGATTTTTATATATATATATAATTTTTTGCTGTGTATATAATAGTTATTTAATTTATATGTATTAGCTGTCTGTGTGTTTATGTGTTTTTTCATAATAATCATAATACAAACAACTTGTGATATAATAATAATAATAAAAAATTCAATAGAAATGTTTCAGCAAAACAACTTTTTTAATAAAAAAAAATTTCCCAACTATTTCTCAAAATTAAGTTAACATAAAAATTAGTAATAATAATAATAATAATATTTTTCAAATCATGTTATATATTGATTTAATAATAAAAATTATATTTATTTTCAGTAATTCATCAATAATTTAAAAGTATTTTATTTTATTTTTAAATATATATATATATATATACTGTATATATTTATGATTAAATTATATTAATTGTTATTATTAATGTGTTTGTGTAATATAAAAATTTATATAATATATATATATATTAATTGTTTATATATKTTAATTGTATAACAAATTTTAAAAAATATAAATTAAGGTAAGTTTACAAAATTTTTTTTGACATAATTTTTATTACATTTTTTTATAAATATAATAATAGACTTTTATGATTATTATTATTATATATTATTACATAAAAAAACCCATTAATATATTAAAAAAATATATAAATTGTTAGTATCAGTATTATTATAGTTTACATAATTTATATTATTAAAAAAATAAATATATTATTGATTTTTTTCTACACAAATAAAATCTATATATTTAATATCAATATTAGTATTTATATTATCATATAATATGATATTTTTAATGTAAACTATGAATAAAATATATTTATTTTTGTTTTATTATTTATTACTGTATTATAGTTTACTATTAGTTGTATTATTATTAGTACTAAAAACAATTTTTTAAAAATAAATTACTAACAAATAAACTGATTTAAACTAAAAATAGGTTATTTAAAAAAAATAATATGTTTTTTAATATATATATATATATATATATATATATTAAAAATGTTTTAAAAAAACGTTTTGACATTTAATTTTCAAAATTTTTATTCATATATAAAAATATTCAAAAATATTAATATTTAACTCAAAAAATAATAACTAAAATATTAATTATTAAAATCTTTTCAAAATCTATTGATATTTTAGAAAAAAAATTAATTTCCAATAATACAGTTGACAAAAAATGATTTATTATTAGTATTATTATTAAACTTTCTAATGATTGTTATAATAGTTATATATAATTCAAATGTAAAATGTATTTAATATATATATATATATATATATATATATATAGATTTTTTTGGTGTTATTTATGATTTGTATTATATTATTGTCATTAATAATACTAATAGTAGACATAATTTATAAATAATATATTCACTGAATAATGCAATTATTGTTAAATACAGTTCATGTGATTTATAATAGTATTATAAATATAATAATCAATAATAATAATAAAATAATTTTATCAATAATAATAAGTATTAAAGATATTTATTATTATTATTATTATTAAAGATTATAATAATGTAAAAATAATCTATTGATTAGATATTTAGTTAGTTTATAATAATAATAATAATAATATCTATAAATTTAATTAATTTCAACAAAAATACATACATTTTGAATATTTATTTATCAAAAAAAAAATAAAATCAATAATAACTTTAAAAATTATTTGTGACTAAAACTATTTAGTAATTGAATTAGTCATGTGCTGAAAATTTTTGGTTTTTTTAAATAAAAAAACTAAAATTTAAATTCAAAAATATCTATTAATATGATTATTGAGTGCTTTTTGTAGAAAATGCAAAATTTTTATATTTAATTAAATATATGTGAATTAAATTATAAAAATGATAAAAGATTTTTTTTAGTGTACAGGTATTTTAACTTGAAATTTATTTTTTATTTATTATTTTATTATTATATGAAAATTTCTATTACTTTTTTAACAATTAACAAATATCTTCAACTATTTGTTTTGATAAAAAATTTCAATTCAAAGTTTTTAATTAATTTTTTTAATTGAATTTATAATAGAAAATAAATGAAAATTTTTAGTTGTCTTTGAAGTTTAAATTTCATAATAATTTTTTTTAATATATTAAAATAATTATTTATTAGTGTTATAGCATATAATTTATGATATAATTATATAATTATGATATATTTATAATATAATCTATAGTTTTATAATTATTTATATAATAATAAAGTTTTTTTCACATTGAATACAAAAATCTATATATATTTATATTTAATAAATTAAACAAAATTTATTATTTCTTTTTAATGATTAGTAAATTATTTACACAATTTATTGCTAATAATAATAATAATAATAATAAACTATAAAAAACATATAGGGGTTATAGTAATATTTATTAATTGTAAATATTTAGTAAATATTTTTTTTAATAAAATAAAAATAAAATACATTAACACCTAATTCATAGTAAGTATTATTATTATTACTTTTTAGTATCAATAGATATTTTTTATATAAATATTTTGTCATTAACTATAATTTAAAATAAAAACTAGTTTTTTTATATACACTAACATATAATAATATATAWATATTTTTTTCAAACATCTATCAAATATCAAACATATAATTTTTTTTTAAAAATTAAAAATGTTTTTATCTATAAAACATATAATTTTTTTTAATGATACTAATAATTATTGTTATCATTACTACTACTACTACTACTACTACTACTACTACTAATGTAAGTGATATTTAAACAACACTTGTAGACCTTCAACAAAAAATATATATATTTTTTATATATATATATTATATGATTTATGAAAAAACAACAAAAAAATTATACAATTTTTTTGTAATTAATATTCAAAATCTGGTTTTTTGATATAGAGAAACAAAAAAAAATCTTCAAATAAATGATTTTATATTGTTTTTAAAATTTTGTTTTAATATTATGAAAATTATAATTGAGTTTTATTTTATTGGTTAATGATAGACATAAAAATAAAATAATGTATAAATATTTATATCTAAAATATTGATTTTATTTTCGTTTTTTTTTTGTATATATCTATTAAATAAAAATTATATATGAAATTAGGTTTATTTTATTTGTTCGTTAATTAATGCATTGACTTATTTATATTAATAGTTATTATTATTATTATTATAAACAAAAATTATATATTAAAACTAATATTTAATTTTTAAAAATTAATTATTAATAAATATTAGTTTTAGTTTATCCTTTATTTTAGTTAATTTTTAGTTATACCATATGTGTCATTGTATGATAAAAAAAATTATATAATATATACAATACATAAATCATTTAATACACTGTATATAGACTTCAAATATAAATGTAATGTTAATATAATGTTGGCTTTAATTCAATGAATGTATGAATGAATAGAGGAAATCATTAAATGATTTTATTTTATAAATAGTTTTATTATTAAATAATTAAGTTTTTTTGTTGTTGTTATTTCTTAAAAAAAATTTCTTTTGAAACTAAATTTTCTTAAAATAACAATTTTTTTTTCAAATCATTTTTAGCATTTAAATGCTGATATAAATCAAACTAACAGTGTGTACAAGTAATTTAATATATTTAWATATACAAATAATTTATAAACTTTTATACAAATAATWTATACAGTTTATATATATATATATATATATATATATATATATATATATATATATATATGTTTATCAAATATAATAGTGTATATATTTGTATGTAATTTAAATAAATATTTATTTATTTATTTAGTGAGARAGAGACACAAAAACTAGACAATAATAATAATATTATTATTATTATTTGATATATCATTTGACTATCATTTAAAAGTTTATATTATAAATAAATATTTTATATTAATATATAAAAATATATTAGAAATATATTTTTAAAAATAATAATAATTATCTTCTAAGGTTTAATATAAAGTATAATAATAATAATAAATATTATAAAACTTTTAAAATAATTAATAATAATAATTAATTTAATTTATTTTTGTTATTTTGATAGTTATATTAACTAAAGCAAAACCAAAACAACAACAACAACAAAATAAACATAAAAATTTTTGGCGCCTTTCCTATCCCTATGAAAAATCACTGGCACTGGTATCAAAAAAACATAACCTACCGATCCTTTATTCAACAACAACAAAAAAATAATAACTAAAACCTACCGAAACAACAATCAACCGATTGATTAAATTTTGATATTAATAATAAATAGTATATATATATAAAAAAAATGTCAGTTAAAAGCCAAAAATATCGGACAGTTATCGACAAAACTGGTGACAACGGGACAGCCATTCTAACGGCCAGTACTACTACTACTACGACTACCGGTGCCACTGGTAGTGGTGGTGGTAATACTGACAACGATACGGTAGTTACCAATGTATCGGATATTGTCGGACCCTGGGGTCGATGGCAGCTCAATATATTTGCCTATTTTTTCATCGGTGCCATGTGCTCGTGTTGGCATAGCCTGGGACTGTCGTTTTATGCGCCAAACATTAGCTACTGGTGCCAGAAACCCGATATATATCAGGTATTATTATTATTAGATGATTACTATTAGTAATACTATTATTATTAAATAATTTGTTTGTTTGGTTAGAATATCAGTGATAATGAATGGATAGAGAGGACAGTTGGCAATAATAATAATAATAATAATCAGGATATTGACTACCAGTGCCAACAATATGGTAATCCCAGTCAACAGTGCCTCAGCTGGCAATACGATCAATCATTTTGGCGGTCGACTATTATTAGTGAAGTTTGTGATATAATAATAATTATTTTTATTTTTTTAAAAAAAATACTAATAATTTTTTAGCTAGCTAAATTAATTATTTTTTTATTTATTAATTAGTGGGACATTGTATGCAATCGGGCACAGTTAGCCTCACTGACCCAATCAGCTTATATGGCTGGTGTAAGTACAGTATATATATTAATAATTTATTTGCTAATTAATTAATTAATTAATTAATTACTTTTTTGTTATTGTTGTTATTGAAGGTTATGGTCACTGTTGTCGTAATGGGACAGTTGTCTGACAAGTAATTAATTTTATTTATAAGTTTTTAATAGTTTTTTTCTGTTAAATCTATTGTTTGTTTTTTTTGTTGGTTAGGTATGGCCGGCGCCCAATCATATGGGCCGGACTTATCATTGAACTAATAGCTGGACTATCATCGGCTTTCTCCATATCTATTGAACATTTTATTATATCAAGGTATAGATAATAATAATAATAATGAGGCTCATGGAGGTAGGGGTAGGGGAGGGAAAGGGAGGGTATCATTTAAAATACAGTAAATTAATTTATACACTTATATTAATAATAATTTTTTATTTAATTTAATTAAAATAAACAACAACAAAATAATATTTTAGCAAATAATAAATAATTTTATAATAATATTATTATTATTATTACTAATGAGGCTCATGGAGGTAGGGTAGGGTGAAAGGGAGGTTATCATCATTTAAATACAGTAAATTAATTTATACACTTATAATAATAATAATTTTTCCGTTAATTAAATTTTTAGTTAAAATAAACAAAAAGTTTATTATTATTATTTTTAATATTTTTTTTTAAATTTTATTTATTAATAGGTTTGCATTGGCTTACGGTGCCAGTGCTCGATGGGGAACGGGATTTGTTTTATGTATGTATATACAGTATATATTGTATTAATTTTAATGATAATAATAATTATTATAATATTTTTTATTTTAAAGAGAAAGAGAGATAATAAACAATCAGATTATTAACAAACAAACAAAAAAAAACTAGAAAACTATTGTTAAACTAATTAATTAATTATTTTTTGTTATCTAATTATATAGTACTGGAAACAGTTGGTCCAGAATACCGGGCTATCGTAGGTATGGCCATTGAATTTGGTTGGGCACTGGGCTATATAGTAATGCCCGGTGCTGCCTACTTGCTCAGGGATTTTCGTTGGATACAACTGGCTGTTACCCTACCCGAAATGGTACTATTGTTATGGTGGACATCGCTGCCCGAATCGCCCCGTTGGCAGCTAACACACGGCAAGTTTACCGATGCCGAGTCGGCATTGCGTAGAGCGGCCGAAATCAATGGCCATCCGACCCATACAGTAGAAACCAAACTCAAAAAACTGATGGACAAAGCACTAGCCGTAAGCCTAACTAATCCTCTCTATCTCTGAGTGTGTATTTTTGTGGTGTGTATGTGTATGTATGTATGTGTCTGTATATGTGTGTGTGTATGTATGAGTTTGTATGTGTGTTTGTATGTGTGTGTGTAAGTGTGTGTGTATGTTTGTGTGTATGTTTCTGTGTATGTGTGTATGTATATGTGTGTATGTATGTATGTGTGTATGTATGTGTGTTTGTGGTATGAGTGTGTATATATGTGTGTATGTATGTGTATGTGTATGTGTTTGTGTGTATGTATATATGTTATTGTGTATGTGTATGTATGTGTGTGTATGTATGTGTGTGTATGTATGTGTGTATGTATGTGTATGTGTATGTGTATGTGTGTATGTATGTGTATGTGTATGTGTATGTCTATGTGTTTGTGTTTGTGTGTATGTATATATGTTATTGTGTATGTATGTGTGTGTGTGTGTGTGTGTGTGTGTATGTATGTATGTGTGTATTTCTATGTATGAAAACTATATTAAAAAATCCCGGAAATTTTTTTTTTGCAGGACCGTGATGAACAGGATCGTAACAATTCAAAGTCATCAATACTAGACTTGTGTCGCTCGAGGGCTATGATCAAAAATACCCTGATATTATATTTTTCATGGTTTGTATTATTATTATTATTATTATTATTATCTCGTAATTTTGTTGTTGTTGTTAAAACTTTTGTATAACTATTTATTTAATTTATCTATTTATAAAATCATTTATTAGAATTTTTTATTTTTAAATTATTATTAAATTATAATTATTATTAATAAAACAAATAATTTATTTAGCAATTAATTTAATATCAATTACTTTTTTAAAAAAAAAAAACAATATTAATAAAAATAAGTTAAAAAAAATAACAATTAATTTATTAATGAAAGTTTTTTTTTGCATAATTTTGTTAACAACATATTTTTAAATAATAATAATACTAAAAATATTATTCAATTTATATTATTATTATTATTAATTAAAAATATTTTGTTAGAAAAATTATTGAAGAAAAAAAACTTTAAGTAATATATTAATTGTTATATTTAAACTTATTTTATTTATTTATTTTTTTAAAAAAAAGTAATTCTAATTATTATTAATTAATTTATTAATTTTTTTCTAACAATTAATATATATATACTGTATATTAATATAGGTTTGTCAACGCACTTATCTATTACGGCCTATCCTTAAACACTAACAATTTAGGCGGCAATCCGTTTATCAATTTCCTGTTGGCCGGTGCTGTCGAGTTTCCAGCCTATGCCCTCTGTATCTATCTATTGAAACAGTATGGTCGCCGATTGCCCCAATCATCGGCTATGTTGGGCGCCGGTATCTCCTGTCTGCTAACCATACCATTCATATCAAGTAAAATACTTAAATTAATTAACTAAATAATAATTATACTAATACTAAAAAATATTATTATTAGTTATGTTTTATATTATTAATTAATTAATGTATTGTTTTTTAAAAACTTTTTTAGTATTTATAATAATAATAATAATAATTATTATTATTATTATTTTATAATTATATAGTTATAATTAGTAATTTAGTAAATATTTAAAAAAAAAAAATATTGTTATAACAATTGTTAAGTTATTATTAGTTTAAAAACTAATTAATAATAATAATTAAATTTAAATTAAATTTATTAATAGATATTAATAGTTAGTTAGTTTTGATATTGTTTGAATAATTTTTTATAAAAATCTAATTATTAGTTATTATTTGTGGGAAAAAATTAATAATAATAATATTATAATTAATATATATTTTTTTGTAAATTCCTATAGATGATATGGTAATACCCCGGGTCATATTTGCCATGATTGGCAAATTTTGCGTAACCTGTAGTTTCGGTATGATCTATGTCTACTCGGCCGAAATCTACCCGACCGTTGTCCGCAATGTCGGTGTCGGTTCCAGTTCGATGGTCGGCCGTATCGGTTCAATACTGGCACCGTTTGTCAAGGAACTGGTAGGTGGTGTCCCCCACCCCCCGGGTGGTATGGGATGTCTACCTGAATATATATATATATGTATACTAATGTTTTTTATTTTTGTTTCGATAGGGTATATACACACACCTGACCGTACCGTTTGTTTTATTCGGTGTCATCAGTATAGTCGATGGACTAATGGTATTGTTATTACCCGAAACCAAGGACAGGGATATACCCGATACTATTGACGACGTGACCACTGCTGGCCAATCAAAGTTGACGTCGCCATCGAAAAGGTAGACATATTAATGATAATAATTAATTAATTATTTTTTATTTAATTTATTTTTTATTTTGTTTGAAAATAATATAGTTATACAACCAATGGTTACACAATGAAAGTGGTCACCAATGGTAGTGATGGCCACACAAGCGATGATAACAATATCAATGTTACCAGTATTTGATAAAAATTTAGTTTTTTTTATTTAATTTTTTTTATTGATTGATTGTTTGTATTTTTTTTTGTTAATTGATATTATTTTTTTGTTATATTATTATTATTATATTATCTATTTTTTATAATTAAAAAAAACTACTTGTAATTCTATTTTGAATTTTGTTATCTAAAAAATATTTATGTTTTTATTTTTATAATTATTTTTATTAGAAATATATATATATATTTTTATTATTAGAAATATTTAAAACATTTACACAAATAAAATAAACATTTTAATTGTTTTATTATTATGTTTAATTAGATATAAATATATCAAATTTTTATAAATACTTGAAATACAAAGAAAAATTAATGTAAAAATTTTATTTATAAAAATTATACATTTAGAAGTTTTAATAATTACATTATATTAATGTTTGATTTTTTTAATGATAGATAATTATCATATTATCAATTACAACTTTATAAGTATTAATAATTATAATAATTATTATAAAAACAATATAATAAAAATATCATATAATTAAAATGTTTAATAATTTAATTATAATACAATTAATTAAAGTTATATTTTTATCTAATAGTAATTAGTTATTATTATTATTATTATTATTATTATTATTATCATAATTAAATGTAAATAAAGTCAAATAATAATAATAAGTTGTTTTTATAATTACTTAATTTTAAAAAATTGTATTGTACTTAATAATTGTAAAATCAATAAAATTTAACTTAAAGATTATAGATAATTTTATTTTATTTTAAAAAATTTTATAATTGTAGTTATTTATAAATGTCAATTATAATAAATTAACAATTTAAAATAAAAAATTATTCACCAATGATTATTATTATTATTTTTTGTTTATCAATTTAACTTTTAAAACTAGTAATAAAATTTGCATTATATAAAATTTTTACAACTAATGAAATTGATAAAAAACAATTGTTATTTTGTCAATTTTTATATAATGTATATATAATATAATAAAACTAATTAATATAATTATTATTTTAATTACTAACCTATATATATATATAGTACATACTATATATATATATATATACTGTATATTATAATGTAAATCATATTTTATATAATTTATACATAATTTTAACATAAATAATATAAATATATACAGCAATTAGAATTATTTTTATTTTTTATAAAAATATTTTATACAAATAGTACAATGTTAGCTAAAATTACATTGTTATTATTATTATGGCTAATTGTGATCTGGCTAACTGGCCAATAAAAATTACTACTAGTATGTTGATTATATTATTTTTTGTTAATTTTAAGATTTTTAACTTTTTTTAGCAACTATATTTTTAACTCTAATTTTAACTCTATATATTTAACTATATATTTGACTATATTTTATAACTTTACTTTTAAATCTATTTATTTAACTATATTTTTAACTCAATATATTTAGCTATATTTATAACTATATTATTAACTTTATTTTTAACAATTAATTTAATTCTAATTTTAACTCTACTTTTAACTATAAATTTTTATAACAATTTAAATATAATAATTGTTTTCACTGTTTAATTTTAACTTGATTAATTTTTTTTGTATTATCTAGAAAGTCCAACTAAAAAATTGTACGTGCAGTATCTATCATGGTAAATTTTGTGGCTCACGTGTCAATACGTTAGGTCCGGCTGATGGTAATTGGTTGATATTGAGAGGTAACGACTGTTCCGATCAATATCTATACGATTGTACAGATAATAATCAGCAAGCTCAAATTATACAGTATTGTCTGAAATGTCAACAAGATAGTTTTGTCGGTAGCTATGGTAATGATTATTGTCCGGCATTTATTAGCACTGCTACTGGCAATCACTAAAACAAAATTATATTATATCATATATAACTTGATTTAATAATATTTGTTTTAATTACTTATAACTTGATATTATATTATTATTATAATTATTATAATAAAAATTATATTTAATTATTGAAACATGAAAATTTATTAGTATTTTTAATCAAAACTAAATATTTTTAAACATTATTATAAATATTTTATTTCTGTATAATTATTATATATGCAATTAAATAAATAATTTTATTAATTTTATTATTATTTAGATTATTATCATAATAAAAAAATTATTTCTAAAAAAATAATATTATATTAAAATTATCTTATCTATAATTTTTAGAAAAGTATAAATTAATTGTAATTTGTTTTATATTTATAACAATGTAAAAAATGAAATAATATTTAAAAAAATTAATTGAAATAACTGAAAATTAATTGAAATAATTAACTATTTATTTAACTAAATAATAAATTAATAGATATAGTTAGATATTGTTTAGTAATAGTTTATATAAAAATCTAATTATTAGTTATTATTTGTGCAAAAAATAATAATAATATTTTATTTAATATATTTTTTTAAAAAAATTGATTTTTTTTTGTTGTTGGTCTAAACTAAACAATATTTTAATTATGATCCTATAGATTATGTGGTAGTACCCCAGGTCATATTTGCTATGATTGTTTTATAAACATTAACATAAACAGTTAGTTGTTTTATAATTAAGTTTAATTATATACAGTATATATATATATATAAATTTTATAAATACTTGAAATACAAAAAAAATAATGTAAAATTTTTATTTATAAATATTACATTAGAAGTTTCAAGTAATACATTATATTAATATTTGATTTTTTTTATTGATAGACTTTATAACTATTAATAATAATAATAATTATTATAAAAACAATATATAACAAAAAGCATAATTATTTAATTAAAATGTTTAATAATTATATTTTAATACAATTAATTAAAAATTATATTTTTTATCTGATATTAATTATTAAATTCAGTTATCATTATTATATATAAATAAAGTTTAATAATAATAATAATTGTTTTTATAATTACTTGATTAAAAAAAATTATTAGACTTAATAATTGTAAAATTAATAAAAATTAACTTAAAGATTATAGATAATTTTATTTTATTTAAAAAAATATTATAATTGTAGTTTTTATAAATGTAAATTGTAATAAATAAACTATTTAAATAAAATATATTCAATGATGATTATTATTTTTTATTTGTTTATCAATTTAACTTTTAAAACTTGTAATAAAATTTATATTGTACATATTTTTACAACTAATGAAATTGATAAAAAATAGTAAATTTTATCAATTTCTAACAATTTAAATTTATTTATTATGAAAATTATAAATATATATTTTTTAAAAATATTTAAGCTTAATTATATATTTTTTTGTAATTAAATAAAAAACATTGTGTGCATAAAATATGATTAAATGATGAAAAAAATTATATTATAATAAATTATGTCATATATACATATATATATATATATATATATATATATATATATAACATTATAGATTATAATAATAAATAAAAATATGTATTACTTGTAAGTATATTATACTATTTATATGATATAAACTTAAAATAATAATTATTATTATTATTATTTTATTGCTATTAGTACACTTTTTAAAAATATTACTAATAATAATAATATAAATTTAATAAATAGTATAATTAATAATATTAAAAAAAATATTAGTAGTTATTATTAAGTTAATAAATAAATAATTGTATATTTTTTAAATATATTTATATATTTTTTTTATTGATTACTGTATTTTAGTTTCAAAATTGCTTTTAATTAATTAAATCATAACTTAATAATAAAACTAAAAAAAGTATTATTATTTATTATTTTGATTAAATATTTTTTTATTATACTGTATTTCACTTAGCATTACACTTCAAAAAAATGCTAATAATAATAATAATATTAATAACTATAATAAATTAAATGTACTTAATTTTATATTATCATAAATAATTAATATTTGGGAAATTACCAAAAAAAAAGAAAGAAATATTTTTATTATTATTTTAAGTCAACAAAATTGTATAAATTTATAATTATCATTAAAAAATAATTTTATCTACATAATACTATCACTTTTACTTTTTATTATTAACTATAAATTTTTTTAAAAATATTTTATTATATGTATAATAAAAAAATTAACTTTTACCTTATACAATGTTGCATTTATTTAGTAGACATTTATTATTAATTTAAAAGCAAAATATAATAATTAATAAAAAATAAAATATACTAAATTATACTTGTACCTTATTAGTGCAATTTTATTTAATCATTTATTATTTATATTTTAGTTATTAATTTTAATAATATAATAGAATATTTTATTTTATTTTTAATTAGTTGTTATAATTTAATATATAAAAATTTAAAAAATTAATCAATAAGATTTATTATAATTAGTAATAAAAATAATATGTTATCTAAACAAATTTTATCAATTTCACATTTTATTTATGAATGCTAATAAAAATACATAAAAAATAATATTAATAAATAATTATGTGCATTTTTATAAAATTAATATATAGTTATATACTAATTATATAACGATTATCGTATTATATTATTTGATAAAAGCAAAAAATAATAATAATAAATTATCAAAAAAATTCAATTAAAATACTTATATATACTAACTAATAAATATTAATTATAGCATCAAAAAAATATTTTAATAAACATAATTAAATAATAAATTATTGATAAACAAAATCTTAAAATCTTTTTTAAAAAAACATAATTATTAAGCAATTAGTAGATAGAAATAGTATATAAATAGATATTGTATTTAATTGTGTGTTTAATTCAATTAATAATACATAAAAAATTTTTAACAAAAAATATTTTTTTGTTGTAAAAAATAGAAAATTATTATTAGTATTTATAGAAAAAAATAACCATGAACAAACTAATTATATTATCGCTAACTATTATTATAGTAAGTCTTAATTTGGTAACTAGTGATCCATTAAAATCCCTGTTAACCGACAATGAGGTCCACAATTGTCCCGATGATCACGAAGATTGTAAGTTTAATACTACTACTACTACTACTACTGCTAATAATAATATATTTTTTTAAATTAATTTTTCTTATGTTAATTATATATATTTTTTAAAACTTAAATAAATGTTTGTCCTATTTAACTTGTTATATATATATATAGTATATAGAATTATATATATTTATAGAAATAAAAAATTAATTAATTAGGAACTTTTTTAAATAATAATATTTTAACAAAAAAATATAGTTTATTTATAGAATAAATCATAATAACTATATATTAATCTCTATACATATATATTTTTTTTATTAATAGTAATTAAACTAGTTTCTATTTTTTGTGTTTGTTTATTTATTGTGTATATTAATTGTATAAAAAATTTACTAATAATTTTTTATTTAAAAAAAAAGGTAATATCATAATACCGTGCACCTGCTCGATATATATGGGAGAACATTGCGGTATACGTAAAAATCAAGTTGGACCGGCCGGCCCGAAGTTTCTGGTACTCAGGGGCCGGGAATGTAAAACAAATATACTCTATACGTGTACTAAGGCTAACAAAATAGCTGAGGAAACCGCCTACTGTCCCAAGTATTGCAATTGTCGTGACAATGAATACGGACGGGATATATGCCTGACCCGTATGCAGAACCAAACATTAATTAATTAAAACTAATTAATTAATTAAAAAAAATTTGAATAATAATAATAATTTTAACTTGCTATAATTTTAAAATTAATAATCTGGATTTATTTTAATTAATTAATTTTTTTTTGATTTACAAAATTATTAATTTCTTATATATATATATATATACATATATTTTATATATTATTATTATATATATATATGTATATTATTAAACATTTTGTTACATTAATTTCATTTTATTATTATTTTCAATAAATTACTTTTAAAATTTGCATAAAAATATAATTGTTTTTCTTTATTCTACTAATAATATTAATATATATTTTTATAATAGAAAACGGAAAATATTAGTTATTTATAATTATTTTTTTACAAATTAAAAATTAACAATTTTTTTTATTACACATAGTAAACATGTATATATATATATATATATATATATATTGTAAATTAAATATATATATATTTCATTAGATATTAGTAATTTTTAAATTATTTAATTGTAGTTTTATTAATATATTAACTAACTGATAAGTTAATTTATGAGCAATTTTTTATACATATATATGAAATAGTATAAATTTAATATTTTTTTTAAAAAAATAATAATAATTAATTCTACTACAATCTTTTAGAAATTAATATCTATATTATCTTAATTAAAAAATCATAAAATAATAAATTCATTCCGATTTTTATTTGATGATAAATAATTAAAAAATATATATGATATTTTTTCTATTATTATTAATTATAATAATAAATTTAACAATAAAATATGATAAAATTGTAATAAACTAACTTATTAAAAAAAATTATCATAATAAATTATCTAGAATATAATAAATTATTTTATTAATTTAGAACAATATATATATATATATATATGTGTTTAAAAAATTTATTATTTATTTTAATTATAATATCAAATTGTTATAAGTTTAAACTTATCTAAAAATGAACAACATAATTTTAGCTATAATTTTTATATTTGCAACTATCTACCATTGTAAGTTAGCAATTATTTTTACAAATAATAAAAAAATTAATTAATTTAATTGATATTTAAAAATGTATTTTATTTATTTTTCATATAATAATAAATAACCAGGTACTGCTGCTATTAATGATGATGACACTGCTTGTAAATGTTCAATTTATCTTGGTAAATTTTGTGGCACCCGTACCGATCAACTAGGTCCACCCAGCAGTGGTCCCAATGGTTTGGAAAAGTTACCAATACTTCAGGGACCAGATTGTAATCAAAATTTACTATATGAATGTAATCAATTAAATGCGCAAGCTGAAATTATTCAATGGTGTCCAGATCACTGTATTTGTCAAGATAATAAAGTGGGTTCAGATTTTTGTATCAGATCACGTGATCCATTAAATAATAATAATACTATTATGTAGATGATTGAAATTTTAGATATTTTTATTTATTTTATAAATTTGATTTTTTTTAAATACTATTTATATAGTTATAGTTATTGTATTAATTATAGAAATAATTTTTAAATAATTATAGAAGTTTAATTGGTTTAATTTATTTTAGAAATTAAATGTAATTAATCATATTTGTAACAAAAAAAAATTGTCGCAGGTTAATTTTAATAATTGAAAACTATAATTAATATAATTATAAAAATTTATTAATGTGTTTTTATAAATATACACTATTTTTAAATTTTAATTTAGTTTTTAAAAATAATCATTTATTTATATTTATCATTTAAAACAAAAAATTTAATCAAATTCAATAAATATCTATTCAAGAAATAATTATATTATGATTTATATAAACAATGAGACATCATTACTTATTAAATATTTTTTTAAAAATATAATTTTTTTATAATTAGTTTACTTTAAATAAACAAAATGCATATAAACAAGTTTTTTTTTGCAAAAAAATACAAAATAAATGTAATCAATGTTTTATAGCAAATTAGTTAATATTATTAATAATAATAATCAATTGTAAGTGTTTTTTATGTGTATAATGATTGAGAAAAAGTTTTTTAATTAAATTATATTTAATTTTCATGTTGTTATCACACAAGTTGTTTACATATATATATATATATAKWTATATATATATATATATAGTTAATATATATATATATATATATATATATATATATATATAGTAAATATAATTTATGTTTTTTGAGTGTATGTTTAAGTATTATTATTAGTATTATTACTACTAAATAGATTTAATAATTTAATTAAAAATATTTTCATATAAATTCAATCAATGCTGTTATGTATATATATATATTAATACACAATCATATAATACATATAATAAACTTATCACAAAAAATATCATATATATATATATATATATATATAGTTATCAAATCACTAAAAATTTGTGTTTTTATAATCAAATATACTGTATATGTAGTGATAAAAAAATTAATCAATTAATTAATATATTATAATATCAATAAATTTCATTAATAAAAAAAATCTTTATAAATTATTTATTTTTTGTTTATCAATTCAATGTTTATTTTTTCATAAGTTTATATGACTAATAAACTGCATATTTGTGACAATTTTTTTTAAAGTAAATTATATTAATTTCTAAATTAAATGAAAGTTTAATTTCTATTTTTCAAAACAGTTAATGTTTTTATTTTTTTGATTAACTGTTTTCATTAATATTTTTTTAATATAAATATTTTATATTATTTTATTAATTGTAACCTAAATTAATATTTACTATATTTTTTGTTTCAATGCGTAAGTTTAAAAAAAACATAATTTCATACATAAATTGCTAATTAATTAATTAGATAATAGTATTAAATACTAATACTAATAATAATGTTAATAATATGATATTTATCTTTATATTTAATTAAATGTATGAAAAAAATATGGATTATGTCATGGATTTCTGGTTATTAGTTAAGTAATTATTATAATTATTATTAATTTTTTTATTAATTAAGGAATTAAATCAAAAAAATAAAATAATTAATAATTTTGTATTAGTTAATTAAAATGTGATGTTTTTTTTAATAATAATAATATAAATTTAATTAGTATTTAAACAAATATATTTTTTAAACTTAAAAAATTTATTAGTTATTGATTTTATTAATTTATATATTTTTTATTTTTAAATATATATATTATATAAATGTTTAATATTTTTCTAAAAATTTTGATTTTATTTTTCTAATAATAACTAAGAGATACTATGGATAACAAAGAGATGTTATATACTGGAGACCAGATATACGCTAACTATCTATCATTGATGTCCGACTCGTTCAACGATTACATACGTGACTATACTAGTGTTGATCGGCTACGTGATCGACATCGGGAATCCCGTGACCGTTGTAGCGGTTATCTAATCGAACAGGATTTTCGTACGGATATCAACAGTCGTTTGGACCGGGATTTCCAACGTTTCCTAGACTATTGTCAACATTATAAAAAATGTCTTGGTCATTTTACCGATCAATTGGTGAAGTTTGCCCGATGTTCGGACAGATATTACGATCGATCGGAATTGGTTCGTGAATGCGGTCGACTAATACCCGAAACCTATATGGCATTCGACCAGAATATACCCTATTTTGACGGTCCGGACGACAGCGGCAGTACTACGGGATTGATCGTGAGTGCCGTTCCCGTAAACAATGACAACGATTATGGGTTTCAAGTGTTTGGCTACGATTTTCGTCAACTACTTAACCAACACATCGATCAACATATTAGACGATACGAATCGTGCAGTGATTATCTCCGTCAGGCCATCGAAAGGTATGAGCCGTCACTAAAGGATGAATACAGGGGTCGCCGCCAACAGTATTGTTGGCGCCAATGGCTAAACTCAAGTAACGAATGGCTATCCGCTGATAATTATGTCTACTTTATGACCCATCGGGAACTGGATGACCGATGCCAGGAATTTTGGCACCGATTTGGCCAAGTTTTTCAACAGCGTCTGAATCGGGATACTCGGCAAGTGTTGGCCCGAGACTACTATCGCCCGGCCTATAGACGGGAAAACTATACGGCCGGCCTAGTGTTGACAGTTGCAGCTATCGGTGCTCTAATAGCCTATTATTATTATTATAGCTATAATAATGGTGATGTTGATGCTGATAATGCTGACAATCAGGTAGTAGTACTAGTGGTTAGTATAGTTATGACATTGTTGGCACTGTTAGCTATCGTATATTTTATTGTTAGAAAATTATCAAGGCCACACAATATTAGACAATCTATACATGATCCAATCTAGATGCGCTTACCATGATCAATTAATTTATAAATTAATAAAATATATAAATATTTTGAATTATATCTAATTTATTATTATTTTTTTGTTAGATTAATCGATATTTTTATTGTTATTTTTTTAAAAAATTAACTTTTAGTTAATTATAAAAATATCAGAAAATAAAATTTAAATGTTTGTAATTTAATAATAATAATATACACTGTATTATATATCCAGGATTAAACTTGATTACAGATTAAAATTTTTGAAATATTTATATAAATAATTTAAATATTCTATTAATATATTTGTTTTTCATATTATAAATAAATAAATAATAAAAAATAAATCAATAAATATGTAAATTATTTTATATTTATAAATATATACAGGTATATTATAATATATAATATTTGCATTATGCTACTATTAAGTAAGATAAACTTTTTATAATTATAATTTTTTTTTTAATTATTTGTTTATTTTAAATATAAGTATAAAAGTTAAACAAACTTTTTTTAAAAAAAAACAATATTATTAAATAATTTTAGAAATTTCAAACTGTAAAAAATTAATTATAGTAATTATTAATACTATAATAATATTAAATAATTATTTATAATTAAAATAAAAAATCTAACATGTGCAATTTATTATATTGTAATTTTATATTATACTATCAAACAAAAAATTTGATTAATAATTATTTAAAACTATAAAATAAATAAATAAATACTAATAATAATTATTTTTTTTGTATATAAAACACAAATATATTCATACAGTTTAAACTGTTTAATACTGTACATACAAACCCCTAACAAAACAAGTTAATTATAACTATA